TTATAGATTTATAGACTTTTTCTTATTAATTTTATTTTATAGTTTTGTGATGCTTCTTTGTGAAATTATTGAACAAAGGAGCTCATTCCCGGATGAAATGAATATTAAAGAAATTCAAAATATGGTTCTTGAAGATAAACAAGAACGATCTTTGTTATTGCAAGCTCCCATTGAATGGGCGGATATTGTAAATAAAGGTAATTGAGATTATTAATATCATATTAATATCATATTAATAAAAATTAATTATAATAAAAATCTGTTCTTTTTATGATTATGCAGATTTGGATGATTTCAATGCGAAATATCAGGTCGGATATTACATGTTTCATAATTGCTTAAAAGATCAAGAAGTTGATGAGCAAAAAAAAGCAGCAATAGTAAAAACTGTAAGCCATTTTCAAGAAGCAGCCGTTATGGATTTTCCTGAGGTTCAACTTTGTTATGACGATTGGCTCTGTAAAAGCGAAGGAATTGAGAAATCTGCACAGAATGGAAACTCAACCTCAATGTATAATCTTGAATTTTTATACAATGGAAAGAGAGAAGTTCAAAACGCAGAAAAAGGTCTTGAAAATGGATTTAGAGAATATAAAGAAATGGAACACGATACCAGAATTTCAATCGGTATCTAGAAATGAAGAGTTGGGGAACACAAAACCAAAGGAAATTAGCCTTGAAATTGATTTAGGTGAATTTAAAGAGGTGGATATGACTTTAATACCAGAATTTCAGCCAACATCCAGAGGTGAGGAATTGAATGTTAATTCCACAACAAACAAAGGTCTCGATTCAAATGCAAAACCTAAGGAAATTGATCTTGAAAATGGATTAGGTGGATTTAACGAGATGGATACGACAGAATTTCAGTCTACATCTATTATTGATATAATTCGCGATAAATTCTATTATTGTTATTTTTATTATTATTATTATTCTTCTTCTTCTTTTTATTATCGCTGTATTGATATATTGCATCTATTAATCAGGCCTGTTACATAAAGAATGATTTCATTTTAACTATATATTTGTTTATTATTATAGATGGATAGCATTATTATTCTTTATCAAAACTTTTCACAAAGTTATCATTGTCCATTTCAACTTTAATACTTTCTTAACCTTGTTCTTATATTCAATATATTTCTCTTGTCGCTTTTCCATCACGTTTTGTTGTGTCATCACTATATCTTGCGGATTATCTCTGCTGGAACCTTCAGAAACTTGATTCTCTACGGCAATTATACTATGCGTTTTTCAAGAATTATTCTTTGAGAGATTACTGGGATGTTATCGATACTGAAAGCAAGCAATGAATAATTGTGTCGTCGAATCGTTTCGTTAAAAAGAGACAAAAAAACTGTCTGTTCTTTTTCATAATAAAATGCTTGCAAAGAAAATGACAATTGCTGGACAGGAGCACACCCAATTATCTACATCCATATGATATCTTTCGTCCATATTGGGTATTATATCTGTAGCCGCCATCTTGTTCCAATCCTTCTTAAAGGATTGTCACCATATTAGAAAACACTGATTTGTACTAAGATCAATATTGGTGAGACGATTTGTTGTAATTTGTACTTGTGCTTGTACTTGAGCGCTCGTCAGTGGCTCTCTGTGATCATGATTGTTCGAGCCAAAGGTAATGGATAGAATGAACGGGCAAATAATTTTCAGTCACTTTTGTTATACTAATTCATTCAGAGATATCCCCATAATTCAGGAATATTATGAATATAACAAAACTGGTACGTCTCTTCTACGTAATGATAATAAATTTGATCCGAGTTTTAGAATATGTTCTTTATCGGAATTAATGAATGCATATTTACGTGATACTTGATCATATTTATGTCTTCTTTGATCTCATAATCTGTGCATAAGTTTCTAATTTTGCCAATCCATGCTGGATAATAAAATTAAACTGTTGGGTGAGTCTCTAACGCTTTTTTCTTTGAATAATTGCTTATTCTGGGTTTCTTATATTTAAGTGTCTGCTAATAGCATTTTCCAAGTGCCGTAGCATAATTGTATATTTGTGAGTCACGATCAGGCTTTACTAACTGCTGATACCTCCCCCCATGTCTTTATTTAATAAAACAAATGCTGATAGCAATCCCGCCTGCCAATGACTGGTGAAGAATTTATGAAGGGCTTGTATACGAATACTTATTTCATTATTTGCATCATGGTATGTTGCTTATGAATTATCAGCGTTTAAAGGTATAGATATACTATAGGCATACTATACCCACTGCAATTTTTCATTCACGACAAAGAGTTCAAAACGCTATTGATTCGTTTTAAACGTAGAAAATTCACGACAATTTTAGTTATATTTCCATACTGATCTGATTAATTAATAGAGTTGAAAAATTCAAGACACGCACAAATTCATTATCAATATAACAGAGAACTTTAAAACCTATAGCGATAAGTCTGGGTTATTCGAGATAGAAGCTGATTATTTTGATTAATAATACATTTGTTCTTTCGTATGCACCTGTAAAAGGATCAGCTTATTTTCGACGAGATGGCGGTACAGTTCTGCACTCTGTAAGTTATATTTGTGATTTTCTTAAATCCATTTTTTGACATTTTCTGGAAACTTTACGTGATGGTGTAATGAATATTGTTTGCTAATTGTAATTTCGGATTCATAGTAACTGTGATTTTGCCTTCGCAGGGGAATCTTTGTATAGCAACGCGAGCTTCACTTCGCCTTTTGACTGGTTGATCATTTGATCTTTGCCAGCTCGTAATGAACATTGCAGATATCCTATAGCGCGGCCAGTAAATTTTCTTTTTTAAAATCCAGTTTCAATGACAAAATGAGAATTTTGATAAGTCAGGTAAAATTGTGCTTGATTTTCTTCAGATCCAATGAATCAGACTCCGTGTGAGATGGTCTCCAAAAACTGAGAATCTAATTCGACCTCAAATGCAAATTTTGTAGGTCTTTTAGATGATTCAGCCTTTCAGAATTGTGAGATAATATATCTTTCAGCTTCATTCATATTACATACAAGTATTTTATTATCCTCACTATCATATTTATCAATTGATATATTACTAGCATTTTCTTCCATAGTTCCAATGCCAGTTCAGGATCTTCAAGGTCATCGTCAATCTGGAAAATATCTGAAGTGCTTTTGATTTCGAAAGATGAAGTATTGATAGATGGAACTATCAATATTAAGATCAGTTGTTTGCTTTGCCTTCTTTCTTGAAACTGGATCTGTATTCTGTCTCTTTTCTTACGTCGTTCATAACATAGATTACAGGTTGCATATTCGAGATCGATAAAAATCTTTATTTTCGTATAGTAACAACCTTTACACACTATTTAAAGCAATTTATTTTATTTAAGTAATAAAAGTAATGTATTTTTATTTAAAAATCAAATAATGCATTTTAAATTTTTTACATATACAATAATTTGCAATTTAAGGAATTTATTACCTAATTAATCTATAAACATATTGTAATTTAAGTATTCTAAAAATAATATCTTTAGATGAACTACTTTCATTCGTTATCGATTTATACAATATATTATTGTAATATATAGTTATTATTGATTTATACAATATCAAATTATTAAAAAAATCAAAATTATTAACAAAACGATCTAAAGAGAACGACGCGTTTGTATCGAAGATTTTGCGTCTCTTTCATGTCATTAATTATCAAATGCCCTCGCAATTCTTACAGCTTCACAACTCCCGATTTCGGTTAGACCTTCCGTATCTTAATCAACCGTCAACAAATATTGCAGCTCTCCAATCCTACATGACCAATTTCAATGGCAATCGTGGAGTGTATGAGAAATCGTTAAAGATCACGGCCACCGAACTGAAACCCACACCAAAATCATTAAGTACAGCAATTCCAAGAGAAACCTTATTATACTTAGTAGTTAGCAACAAACATCCAAAATCAATTTAATCATAATAGTAGTAATACTAACTACTGACGAAATGGAACGGATTCGAACCTTTGAAGTTTTTATTAAAAACATACCGGAAACAGAATTAGGTGAATCTAGCAAAATTTGTTACAACCGCTTTTGAATTCTCACAAACGGCGTCCCAATACAAAATATATTTCCTTTGAAAATAGATTACTTAAAAACAAAACTGAATTTTCTATAATCATAAACTTGCTAGAAAAATTCCATTCGTAAATGAGTATGAGGAGACTCTGCAAGCTCGTAGACAACAGGGTATCCAAAAATCAGCGAACAGCAAGCTCGTCTTTTGGTTGCGTTAATTCTAGTTCCTTGTGATTTATTTTTTTTATTTTTTTCGTATATATATATATAATAATGATGATATTCATAATAATAAACAAATATTTTTTAATTAAACCATTTTGGCAAGGGATTTCGGATGGTAGGTGTCGGGTCGGTAACCACATGACCCGAACTTTTTTTTCGCTTTGGCTAGGGTACTAGAAACAACCATAAATTTTTGTTCAACCCGACAAAACAAATCCGACACAAAAATTGAAAAATATAAGAAACCTATGAATAAACCTAGCTTGGTGTATTAATAAAAAATGTTCAGAAGAAAATTTTACATATAATTTGGATCTTTTGAGTAATAGATATACATTTAATATGCGTGACTGTATTTCAATAAAAATTTTACAATAAATAACGATAAACTAATAATTTAAGAAACCACTAAATCCTTCAATGTTTAGATTTCTCAATGTCACTCATAATCGGAAACCGCATAGTAATGAGCGAACAAGCCGTGCAGAATAAGATAATCGTGATAAGTTTCCATTTTTCCGTTCTAACTAGATAAATGCGTTTCTGGTGCATGATACTCTGACAATGCGTTTCCAGATAGATGTAGTATGCGTAAAGTGGGAAACTGATCGAGTATGTGAGGTGGAAGAATAGTAGACTGGAAATATGCCAAAAAAAAAAATAGTTTACAAAAAATTTTGGATATAATAACTGTCTTCTTCACTAGAGATATTCAATGTAGTCAAATAGTGGCGGTTACACTTACGCTTTAAACGAGTCCGAAAATATAGTACCTATGGCATTACCAAGAATATGAAAGATACCCGCAGCTAATAATATGTATAATTGCTTTGGGTGATCAACAGTCGTGGGGTAAAGTTTAGCACGAGAAGTTAATCGCTCGCGGTCTTCTTCGTCTTCTAAATCAGCAATTGGTGTGTGACTCTCAGCATCTTCTTTGAATCGTGAACGTGTCTCAAGAATGATTTGTGTGAATACGATAATAATCATAAAATCAAGAACGAGACCTATGAATAATAGATGTTCTATCAATATTCATTTCAACAAAAAATCAAAATAAAATAAGTGTAACTAGTAATTTATCTAATTACCTTGCGCTTTAAAGAAAACAGCATCATAAGGCCACGGAGCATACATACAAGTTGCCACAACAGTAATCATATAAATACCTATTGCCGGAAAGTAAAAATTCGAAGCTACTTTCCCGCCCGTGAATAACAGCCACAAGAACATGAGTTCCGCCGCGTTATGAAAAACACCGACAGGTACCCAGAGCTTTGAAAGATCGACAATTAAACTAGCGAGCGGGGCCCAACTTGTGACCAGTATGTATATGGCGATTATCGTGTTGAATAGTGTCGCTGGTGCGGTTTCACTGTCATGGTGAAAGAATGATACTGTGCTTTTTGGTTGTTTATAGAAAAGTGTCCAGTATAAGGCTGATAGACCTAATATAAAGTCAACTATTAACGCATAGAGTACTGGCGTTTCGTTAGTTTGAAAATCGAATCCTAAAAATGCATAAATAAAATATGTTAATATAAGAAATTAACAATAATATCAGTTGATTTTATTATACGTAATAATAACCTTTTATATGTTCCCGCCATGTCGGAAAACCGGTAATAGGTGAAATCTCTTGCACAGGTGGAGGAGGGAATGCACTTGGTTTTGGATAAGTCAAGAGCACTGCACCCAAAGTAAACGCGGAAGCAACGACAGCAAGGAACCGAAAACAGCTCATCTTTATCCGAATATTATTTTGACAGGATGGTTTTGAGGCTGTATTTATATGTGAGCAACCTATAAACGTGTAACAACCACTATTACACAGCATAGTTCTATTGTCAATAATATACATAACGATAACTTTTAAGATACATGTTTATTTTTCGTGCATGTTTATTTTGTTTGGAATGGCGTATTTAAGTGAAATGTCATCATTGCATGCATATACTTATCGTAAAATCCACAAATGAAGGTAGTTTTATCGAGTCAAAAGGGACAAAAGTTTGGAATCGGGGATGATCGACATAAATAAAGGGGTGAGTTGCATCGTTATTTGTGCAACACACAGACGTCCAATTTTAACGTTCAATAGC